ATCCTTCTTTTCAATCTTCTTCACCTTATACTTTTTTGGATTGAATTGCAGCAACCATTTACTGATCCACGCCAAAAGTTTGGCTAGATCTTATTGTAGCAGTTTACGCTCCTCTTCAGTTTTCACTCTAACTTTGCATTATCTGCAAACATTGACATGTATGTGCTCACGTCCTCTGATAGATCATTTACATAAATTAGAAAAGCAATGGATCTTGGACAGCCAGATAATGACCTTTGTTTCTTGTCTGTCAGGTAGTCCCCTAACCAGTTCTGTGTCTTTCCCATCATTCCTGCTTGCCTCTTCATCTATCATATTAGTATTTTGTGAAGAACTTAATCAATATTTGGTGTATTAGGCTACGAGTTGGTAGAACTAAAGGGAAAGCTCAGGGAGCTACAAGATGGTATGGGTATGGGTATATGGGAGCAGGTCAGCCGAGTGGACAGCACACTGGACTTGTGATCCTGTGGTCCCGGGTTCGATCCCGGGCGACGGTGAGAAACAATGGGCTGAGTTTCTTTCACCCTATGCCCCTGTTACCTAGCAGTAAAATAGGTACCTGGGTGTTAGTCAGCTGTCACGGGCTGCTTCCTGGGGGTGGAGGCCTGGTCGAGGACCGGGCCGCGGGGACACTAAAGCCCCGAAATCATCTCAAGATAACCTCAAGAAGATGGTCCCTTCAAGGAAGAATAAAATGCAGATCATGGAGTTGGTAAGTAAAAGTGAATGCAGTGATGGTAAGAGTAATGACAAAAACATTGTTTACACATTACTTTATTTAATTGTGCAAAAAAAGTAATACATCATTTCCTTAAAGAAAAATCTATTTTGGGACAAATAACCACATATAGATATCATGTCAGATATGGAATATATAATATATTATGGAAGGTACATATATATATATATATATATATATATATATATATATATATATATATATATATATATATATATATATATATATATATATATATATATATATACAGGCGATGAGTCACAATAACGTGGCTGAAGTATGATGACCAGACCACACACTAGAAATTGAAGAGACGACGACGTTTCGGTCCGTCCTGGACCATTCTCAAGTCGATTGTGATGAGGACAGGTAGGGACAGGAATTAAATAGGCAAGAGAGAGCTGAGGAGGAAAGTCAGGTGTAGGGGATAGTAGTAATGAGAACTGCAGCAGGCCTATTGGCCCATACGAGGCAGCTCCTATTATAACCACCGAAGGAGATGGTAATAGGAATAAGAAGAGGATAGCAAGGGAGCGTAGAAGACAATGAACAGAAAAAGGGAGAAGAGAGAAAGAAAGGGAAAGAGAAAGAAAGAAATGGAAGGGGAAAGCTTATGTTAAGTCACATTTGTTAGAAAGATTAGAGCATTTGAGTATATACTGTGAAAGGGAAGAGTCCACAGCAACAAAGCCAGGACTCAAGTTCATGTTGGGTACATTGTTAATAAGAGCCGATTCTACAAGACGGCATCTGTGTAGAGTAGAGGCAGGAAAGATTATTTTGGAGGAAGACCAATCAATGGGATGATTAGAATCCCTCACATGGCAGAAGAGAGCATTGTTAGTGTCTGCAGACATAACACTTCTCTTGTGTTCTTTAAGTCTGTCATTCAGTGTACGGCCAGTTTCGCCAAAGTATTGGAGAGGACAAGATGAACAGGAAATAGAGTAGACACCAGCAGCATTAGAAGCAGGAGGAGCAGTGTGAACTAGATTGCTACGAAGTGTGTTAGTTTGTTGAAAGGCGAGTTTAATGTCAAGAGGACGAAAGGTATTGGTAAATTTTTTGAGTTCAGATATGAAGGGAAGGCATAGTACAGTGCTACTAGTGTTGGAAGCAGGTTTAGGATGAAAGAAATTTCGTTTAGCTTGAGAGAGGGCACAGTTGATGAAATGCAAAGGGTAACCAAGGCGAGAGAGAGATTTGTAGATAAAGGCAATTTCAGAATCAAGAAACTGAGGGTCGCTGATGCGTAGAGCGCGGAGGAGAGAGAGACGAGGACACTTTTCTTAACAGGAGGATGGTAGGAAAAGAAATATGAACATAGCATTATGCTATATACATCTTCCTACCATCCTCCTGTTAAGGAAAGTGTTCGTCTTTCTCTTCTTTCATGCTCTACGCATCAGTGACGCTCAGTTTCTTGATTCTGAGATTTCCTTTATTTACAAATCTCTTTCTTGCCTTGGCTACCCATTACATATTATCAACTGTACCTATTCTCAAGCTAAATTAAATTTCTTTCATCTCAAACCTATTTCCAACACTTACCACTGTGCTCTGCCTTTCCTTCATATCTAAACTAAAAAATCACACTAATACCTTTTATCCTCTAAACATAAAGTTCTCCTTTCAACAAACTAACACTCTTCGTAGTAATCTGGCTCGCACTGCTGCTCCTGCTTCTAATGCTGCTGGTGTCTATTTCTTGTTTGTCTTGTCCTCTCCAATACTTTAGGGACCTGGCCGTACACTAAATAATAAACTTAAGGAACACAAAAGAAGTGTCAAAGTCTGCAGACGCGAAATGTTCTCTTCAGTCATGTTAGGGATTCTAATCCTATTGAGTGGTCTTCTAAAATAATCTTTCCTGCCTCTACTCTTCACAGATGCCGTCTTGTCAAACTGGCTCTGATATACAACCTACCCAGTATACAACCTGTCCTGGCTTTGTTGTTGCCGACTCTTCCCTTCCACAGTACATACTCGAATGCTTTAACCTTCCTAACAAATGTGACCTGACATAAGCCTACTCCCTTTTCTTTCTCTTCTCATTCCTAGTGTGTGGTCTGGTCATTATATATATATATATATATATATATATATATATATATATATATATATATATATATATATATATATATATATATATATATATATTAAAACAATGACTGAGAATGCTTCATGCTGAGTTTGGCTGGTTTTCTATCGACATGAAGTGTTTAATGCATTCAACAATATGCAACAAGTCAGCAGGAAGTAGTTAATGTGTTCTAATGGATGGTAACAGTTTATCACATAAACCAAATAATTGGAACTGTTATTTGGTGAATCACTGCATGCTATATAATTGGAATGCAGTGATCAAAGGGCCAATTATTTCCACTCATGTTACATAAGTTACAATAAATACACATTTTATATCTGGGTAAATAGAAAAAATATTGTGTTACAGAATATACAGTAATTAACCCTTAAATTGCGCATCACATCATATGATGCATTGACCAACTTGCAGTAAATTGCACATCGCATCATGTGATGCTTTGGAGTACTACGCAAGATTTAAACGGCCCGCGGATACACGGGGTTCACCACACCTTCATCAGGGCTCTTGTAAACAGACGCCATTTTTTTTTTAAATCGTGGACCAAATTCCCGGGTGTTAGGGGCCTCAGTATTGAGTGAGCTACCAAGCCTGATGCACGCAGCATGAGCTCACAGCACTGCTGTTCAGCTTGTGACCACAGCATCGCCTAAAAATGCCATAATATACTTGTTCATGCTATTATGTAGCGATGGTATTATTACAGAAGACCCCTGACTGTGATAAATCTAACCAGGGTTCTGATAATTGCAGGATTGTGGTGATATTTAGCGCTGTGCTCCATGGAGGGAGGAGTAATACTGTGGGAGGGGAGGGTTGTGGCGTTGTCTTCTGACTGTGTGTGGCCACCTTTTATTGACTGCACTCACGATACCAGCTTAGTGGTTCGCTATGGTGAACACAAATGTAGATACTTATATATAACATGTGTATAGAGGGTATAAACAGCAAGAGGAGTAGGTTGGGAGCTGCCATTTTGGTGAGGCCGGTGGCGTCGTCTGCACGACTTATTATATTGTTTACTGGTGACCACGATGGTCTTTGGGCACTATACCATTTTACTTGTACAAGTATGGTGAATAAATTTAACAGGTAGATATTTATATATAATGTGTGTATATAGCGTAATAACACCACAAACAGTATTGTTGGAGGAGAAATATTAGTGCGTCTGGCCTTGAGGTCGGTAGCCATCAGCTGACTGTGTGAGTAGCTACGTCTTTGTGCCTTTACTCACCATACAAGCTTAGATGTACAGTTATGGCGAACAAAACATGTAAATACTTATATATAACGTCTGTATATAAAAGCAAAACCAGTATGGTGGGAGGAGAATGGTGGCAAGTCAGGTGAGGTGAGGGAGGGAGTGGCAGCCAGTGGCGGGCTGCCACTGCCACTCGGGATACCAACTTAGTGGTTTGTTATGGTGAACACGAATGTAGATACTTATATATAGCGTCTGTATATAGTAAATAAAAGCAAAAACAGTATTGTGGTAGGAGAAGGTGGGTGAGTCAGGTGACTTGAGGGAGGGAGGAAGTAGCAGCCAGTGGCGGGCTGCCACTGGCACTGCCAACTTAGTGGTTCTTTTGGTGAACATGAATGTAGATACTGTACTTATATATAACGTCTGTATATAGTGAATAAAAGCAAAAACAGTATGGTGGCAGGAGAATGTGGGCGAGTGAGGTGTTGAGGGAGTGAGTGGCTGGCTGGTACACGGCGGTCACTCCTCGTTACTTTTTGACTCATAATAGCAACTTAGTGGTTCGTTATGGTGAACAAAACATGCAGATACTTATATATAACCTGTGTATATAGTGTAATAACCGACAAAGTATTTGTTCACTGTTTGATGAACATAATTGAATCAACAATATGCTCACCATATTTTTGAGTACAGCGATGATTCATTCATTTTATTATAATAAATATATCACACTACACACTATTGAATAATATTACAGCAAAAAAACTATGAAAAATCAATCAATAGACATTGAAATAATTAGGTAATTATCTCTTCGTGGCAACTCTGGCCTGACAGCTGGCGAGCAACAGACCGCCTGGGACGCACGCTGAGTCAGCGCCTGTTTTTTGCCAGACTTCCTCGCACTATAGCGGGCAATATATGCCACTTACGATTTTTTTATTATTTTTCCCATGATCAGTGAACACAAATTAACAGGTTAGGAAGAAAAAAGATTTTTTTTTTTTTTTGTATGCGCCTGTGGGTGTCAAATGGTATATAGCCATGCGCCATTTAAGGGTTAACAAATGAATATCCATTATAAAGAAAATATGCCAGAATGGTAATAAAAGTTTTTAGTCACCATGTATTATATGTATATATTGAATTCATATTGATTTATGGAAAATTAAAAAAATTAAAATTATTATAGGTTTCAAAATTAGATGCTTATTCTAATGAATGTTCAAGTCACGTGTTGATCAATATCCTCTGTAAAAGAAAGTGGATGTTGGTATGTGGGAGCTGATGATACACTTGATGTTGAAGTGGGTAACCCTTCAACCTGTCCATTAGAGACACTAGTACTGCTACACTCACTCAGATGACCACGCACACTTGACAATGTTTCTATTACCTGAAAAAAACAATTGCACATTAACTTATTAATTTAAACAAAATTTAATGTATGTTAAGAATTACTGTACTCAGTTTGAAATACAACACCTAAATTTAATTAAAATATTTATAGTGAAAGATGCAGTTTAAAAACCAGTGATGAATGTAATGAAATGCCTGTTTCTTGGTGCTTGCTTCCTGGCAAATGCCACCTAATTTAATCCATGCCAGGGCCTAATAAGTCATATATATATAACCCTACCAAAGACCAGAGGCAAAAAACCAGCCTCCCCCCCAACCACTCTAAACAGGTAATTACACTAAGGTGTAAGGAGCAGGGGATTGTAGATCATTCTAACAAGCAAAAGGGTCCGTCTAATTCCCACAAGCTACTACAAGCTACACAAGCTTCACAAAGCTTCCTGGCAATACGTTAGTAATGACTAAATATGATATGTTAGGTTAGGCTGACCTGACCTGACCTAACCTGACCTGACCTGACCTGACCTGACCTAACCTAACCTAACCTGACCTAACCTGACCTGACCTAACCTAACCTAACCTAACCTAACCCAACCTAACCGACGCTTGGATCGTCGACTTGATTTGGAGTCATCAGCTCTTTATTTTCGTCAAATTTCTTTATAAAACGATACTTTTTTCAGATTAAAATTATGTTTTTTCGTGTTGTACATTTACCACCACCATTATAATGAGTAAATATATCATATTTATTCATTACTAACATATTGCCAGGAAGCTTTGTGAAGCTTGTGTAGCTTGTGGTAGGTTGTGGTAATTAGACGTACTGCAGGAAAATGCCACCAGAAAAGAGGGCAAACCAAAACAGACAATCAGCAAGGTAAACAAAGCACAGAAATTGAGAGAGTGAAGCTGGCGCGTGACAGCTGGGTGGACAGCGCTTCGGATTCGTAGTCCAAAGGTTCCGGGTTCGATCCCCGGTGGAGGCGGAGGCAAATGGGCAAAATGTTTCTTTCACCCTGATGCCCCTTATCCCTAGCAGTAAATAGGCTCCTGGGAGTTAGACAGCTGCTACGGGCTGCTTCCTGGAGGGTGTGTAACAAGGAGGAGGCCTGGTTGAGGACCGGGCCGCGGGGGCGCTAAGTCCCGAAATCATCTCAAGATAACCTCAAGATAACCCAAGACCCATGAACAATGTGACAGTAAAACAATTCTCACACTATTTCCACCTGCACACCACCAGAGACCTGTACAACTTCTTCCTCCATCCACCAACTTTGAACCCTCTGTTATATAGCTAGCAAAATGGAAAAGTGAAGCCCCCAGTATGGGGAAGGTTAACCACAGGACTGCGCCAACCGAGAAAACTCTTTTTGATTTTTTCGTACCCATTCAAAATGTGTGCGAGGTAGATTGTGTACGAAATGGACTTTAGGACCTCCAGTGAGAGGCAGCCATCTTGGAAAAAATTCCCAGAATGCCCTAGGGCTGCTGGCTGGGTTAATAAAGAGTGAGCAACAATGTGGCGCACGCACCTCTGGCTCCCAAACACCTGTCCGAAGAGGTGTTGAGAGATTGCGCTCTGTCGGTGAAATTCAGACCTTATTGTTTGAAGAACATAAGGGTCATGATATTGGTAAAGCTAGGTGCAATAAGGACCTAATACAAAGGTCTGATACAAGTGATATAGCACCTATGAGGACTATACTGTGAGCCTATCCAGTTGTAGCTCTGAGCGTCACCCTGGCCCACCTAAGCCATCTCCAATTTATATAGATGATACGTAGATGAATCGTTTTCTGCATTCAGTGATGATACATCAGATACATGTAGCATTGATGAACAGTGTTAGCAGCTTCCATGGTGGTATTTTCCATAGATATTTTCAAGAATAGCTGAATCTCTTCCAGAATGCCTGAATCTCTTGCATATTATATTGATTGACATCCTTTGAGGTTGGCTGAATCTCTTCCACTGTGGGACCTTACAAAGTGATCTTTTCAAGACTACCTTACAAATTGATCTTTTCCTGTAATCTTTTCAAGACTACCTTATGCTTTACAAGCTTGGTTGCATACCACCTACAAGTGCTAAAGTCAAGGGTCTATGCGAGTGTTATTTGCAAGCACACAGAACAAAGAAACAGGAAGCAAAAATCTATCTGTACCTGGTGCAATGAGAGCGAAGTCGCGCTGTGTACCATGGACTACTTCGTTGATTATTATTCACTTCCAAAGTACTGAGTGTGTGAAACAGTACATATTGTAATTTTAGTGAATTTTTAACAAGTAATATTGCGACAATAAACATTTATTGTGGACACATTACTGACACATGTATCACAGTTCCATGGAACATTATGAATGTTTTACTGTATACATATTGTAAAGATACAAATATGCATCATTTACAATAAAAAAAATAAAACTGCATTGGAAATACATAGAACAAATAATTGAAAATATATTTGTGGCAACTCGCGGTGCTTGAATGGCCCGGGCGACGCACGAGCGACCAGCTCCTGATGATGTCACAGCACATCTTAACCGTGTTCCCACAGCCAAAGTAAGTGGAATTTGGTATTTATTTTTACATAGACATGTTCAGGGAAGGGAATTTATCATTTTACAAAGAAAAAATAACTTTCCGGGGGGAGCCCCGTCGGCTGTTCAGGGCTATCCCAGGCTGATATGCTAATGTCAGACTTTGGCATCAGTCATGTGTATGGAGTTCTTAGGCCTACCGAGGACCACGGCCAGAACCGGGCCCCCTCAGACAGGCAAGGAAGCAATGGCCTATAGAAGCCCCCGTGTGGTTGGAAGCATTCTATGTCTGCCATCGACCGGAACAGGCACCCAGAAAGGTAAGCGCCTCAAAACAAACCCCTATTCTGGTTAAAATTGCTACCAAAAGCCGAACTAGTGGATAGAACTCCCCCAACCAAAAACAAGCAAATTAGTGTGACGTCACACACCGCCGCGCCGCTGTCTGCGCAGCTCCCCCCTCCCAGGGAGGGGGAAGGGGAGCCCCAGACCCTCCACGCTGGCTACCCACACCTCAGTTCTTGAGGTTGATGCTAAAGGCGATGGTCGTGTGCACTGACTCCGGTGTCGCTACTGCACTGTGCTTTGCGTGTTTTGTGGGTGCGAGAGCCAGGAGTTATCTTCAGTACTCGGGCTGCATGCGCCTAAGGCTGCCTTCCCTAGGTGCCCTGTAAGTACTGCCCTTGGGGCTTGGGGCCACCTTCCACAGGCTCCTCGGGGTCTGCCTCTGCTGGTCCGGTTTACCTTTCGGTTTATCGGCCACCTGCTGGGCTCTTGGGTGTTCTGTTCTCCCTTGTTACCGGCAGGTAAGAGGCAGTTTGCACTGGTAGGGGCGCAGGGTGCTGCACAGCTTGTATTCCCGACATCGCGGCCGGCTCTGTTCCTTGGGGTTCCCTGTCCTCTTGCGGGGTTTTGTTTTTCTTTTTGTTTTTGCCTGGTGGGGGGTTCTGTCATTTCATTCAGTTTGTTGGTTTTCCAGGGGTTCCAGGGTGGGTCTTCCCGGAAAGGTCGTGCCAGGGCTCGGGGTTCCTCTCGTCATGGTAGACCTCTATTGTCAGGTTCGGGTTTGGCTCCTCCTGCGGACCCTCCCTCGTCTGGTCGGCGCGGTGTTCGCTCTGTGCGGGGTTCTGGGTCTCGTAAGGGTCGCCGGGCCTTTCACAGTTTGCCCCATTGATGGGGCGATGGGGGGGCGGCTTGCACTGTTCGCCCGCGCCTGGTCCCACGATTCGTGGGCCTTTCAGGTCGTGCCTCGCGGCCTGCGGTGGCGTTGGGTGGCCCTTCCCCCCTTGGGGGGGTCGGGGCTGGCAGGGCAGCTTTCTTCCCCTGCGCTCTGTCGAGTCGCCTTGGAGTGGGTACGCTTGGGCATCGTCAAAACGACGTCGTCCCTCAGATGGGTTTCCCGTCTGTTTCCGGTTTCGAAACGGGACTGCGCGGACCTGCAGTTCATTCTGGACTTGTCCCGTCTGAACCCCTGGGTTCATTGCCCCTCCTTTCGGAAGACTACGCTGTCTCAGGTTCGGCTCCTCTTGGAGTCGGGAGCTTGGATGGTGTCCCTGGACCTCCGGGACGCTTATTGGCATGTCCCAATTCATTCACGGTTCAGGGACTGGCACGGTTTTGTAGTGGGGCGTCTGAGTTAATGCTTTCGTTGTCTCCCGTTCGGGTTGATCCTGGCACCTCGCGTGTTCACGCGCCTTACACGGGTTGTGGTGGCTCGTTTGCATCTCCTAGGTGTTTGGGTGTTGGCCTACATCGACGACTGGCTGGTTTGGGCTCCCAGCCGGTCAGCAACCATCACGTACAAAAGTAGCATTTACGCCTGGGGACCATTCAGGCTTGTTCGCATATATATGTCGTACCTAGTAGCCAGAACGCACTTCTTGGCCTACTATGCAAGGCCTGATTTGCCTAATAGGTCGTGGTATTTTTTTTATTTTTAATAAATTGTTTCCAATTAGTTTATTTTAATTATTATTTAATTATAATCTTCCAGCCTTATTCTCTGACCTCTTAATCTTCTTTGACCATTCTAAGCTAAGCTATACCTGTTTTTGGTTAATTCTTTCCCTAGGGATGGGTTGGTCAGGTGTCGGCCTATATATCCTCCCCCTTCCCTTCTCCTTAGTCAGTCTGGTGTTGACAAAGGCTTTAACGAGCCGAAACATTCACCTCATTTCATATTTCTCTGTGGATTTTCGCATATATATATATATATATATATATATATATATATATATATATATATATATATATATATATGCAAACAAGCCTGAATGGTCCCTAGGTATATATGCAACTGAAAACTCCACACCCTATTAGTGACTCGAACCCATACTGTCAGGAGCACTATGCAACTGGTGTACAGGAGATCTTAACCGCTCGACCATCACGACCAGACAAAAGATGATGGTAGCCGAGGCTATTTCCCCATCATCCCACCGGCGCTCTGATGGTAATCTTGGGCATGGTATTTTATCAAATCACCTCATTTTTT